TATATAGAAGCGCCAAGTGTATGAACGAATTTGCAAACATTGTACGTTGAATACGGTGGAATACGAAACGCATTTTATCTCAAATTGTACCCTCTTTGACGTAGCCTCCAAATTCTACCCAAACTTTCACACATATACAAATGACAAGAAAACTACTCTCCTCTTAACATCCGAAAACCAACAAATTACAGAATAAGTGGAATCCTCTGTCTTCCTCTGTCTTACAAAAAAGGAGCCAAACCCAGTAGTTTTTACTAGTACTTTCTTAATAGTTATCAGTAGTTCTATGTGTACTAATTATCTGTTTTTATACAAATGTTTCTTCTGTTCATGCAATTAGCCCTCGGGCATGAATTTGCAATAAAACTTTCAACATATTACGGAGCTAGAGCAACAAGAAGAGAGGCCCGGGTATGTTTGACTACTTCCAATTCGAGCAGTAAAGAAGCTGCTTTGCACCAGTAGCTACTTGAGAAAGAGTCATGGTTCACATCAATTGAGGACGGCATGAGAAGAAAAAGCTTACCCGGTGCTGCTACAAGGGCAGACGCCCAGAGCTGTTTATCGTAGAACACGTCTCTGGTTGCCTCATTGAAGACATTGGTAAAGGATGTCAGCTCCTCTTCGGTACTTGCGTGAACCACCTTCTGAACTTCACCGTCCCCTTTTTCTCTTGACAACCAGTCATTGCAGGTGAAGTACGATCTGAAAAAGATTACGTTTAATTGATTTATTTGTATATCAATTGTGTCATGCTACATTTCCTTTCCATGACAGAAAAATAGAAGTAGCCGATAAAACAAACATGCCAGTTAGTTTTCATTCATGAAGCAAATAGTCAGTCAAGCTCACTCGCGTTGTTGTTTACATTTGAAGAGGAATTGTTAAGTTTCAAAACAAGCACTGGTCTTCCAAGGCACATTGCATTCCACAAACCCAACATGCCAAGATAGGATGAAAGGCGGACTTGAGAATTGCCTTAAGTGTAAAGAAGAAACCAAACTGGCAGAACGACTTTAACAAAGATTTGTCGGTTTGTATATGTCTTTTTGCGTCTTACACCACGTCGGTTTCTATATCTCTGACGACAAAACGTCCGAGGAACCAGGATGCCGTATCTCCTTTCCCAGAGTTATCATGCCAGATGCGCAACAACAGCACTTCTCCCAGTGACTCTCGCACAGGCATGACAAAATGTAAAGTGCTTCCACGCAACAAAGCCTGTAATTATCAACGGTAAATGACATAATTTTATTTTCCTTTCTTCTATTTCTCCCTTGCATTAAATTTACATAATTTCAAGAATATCAAGAATTTTACACAGACATTCCCTGAAACCAACAAATGGTAACCAATATAGTATTGTTAATTTTGTTGTAGGCCTCACAAACCTAGAATATACATTTTGTAACAACAAATGCATGTAATTTATACATCACTTTAAATTACATAAGCCAACAAGACATTAACTAATCAAATTAATAAGAAATATCGTAGAGATGATTTGGCATTCTATCATAAGTTATCATCATTAATAGTGCATGGATGGCATGACGTGTTTACACGTTGCACCCTACCCATATTTGTCAACTTAAAAAACGTCGGGAACATATAAATGTGACACAAATGTAATTAGATAATGAACACTTTAGCCCATGTAAAAATGTAATCAATGGTACAAATAAGTGGTAATGGAACGCCGTTGTGAAGGAGGCCCATCATGCCGCCCGAGACGCCTTCTTTCTCTGGCGGCAGTTGGGTCGGCCTAGGCACGGAGCCGTTTGGGAAATTATGAGAAAATCAAGGGCCAAATTCAAGCTTTTACTTAGGCAGTGCCGCCGTTCTGAGGCACAGTGCAGAGCGGACGCACTAGCCACGCACCTGCATCAGGGGGGTTGCAAGAGTTTTTGGAATGCCTTGCGTGCCCAAAACTGCTCCAAGTCTAACCTTCCCCACACTGTTGAGGGCCACACCGGGGCCCCAGATATCGCTGATATGTGGCGAAGCCATTATAAGTCACTGTTCAACTCGGTAAACTCGAATCACTACAAGCAAGCTGTTACACAGTCACTTAACTCAGGTGTTAGTGCAGACTGTACGATCTCAGTAGATGAGGTTTGTGATGCTATTAATAATCTGCCCAATGGGAAGGCTAGCGATGTTCAGGGAATCTCTGCGGAGCATCTGAAACATGCCGGGACTCGGGACGGCTGCCTGTTGTGCTCTCAATCTTAATTACTTCTATGTTGAGACACGGCTATGTCCCGCCAAACCTTCTACGAGTGGTAATTGTTCCAATCCTTAAGAAGCCCTGTTGCAATGCGTCTAGCAGAGATAATTACCGACCCATCGCCATCGCTAGCCCTCTATCTAAACTCATTGAATGCATTCTACTGAAACGCCTTGAGGATTCTTTAGTTACTCCTAGTAACCAGTTTGGTTTTAAGAAGAGTCATGGTACCGACCTATGTATATTTGCCCTTAAGGAGATTATTCAGTACTATCGCCAGCGGGGCTCTCCTGTGTTCGTATGTTTTCTTGATGCCTCGAAAGCCTTCGATCGTGTCAATCACTGGATTTTGTTTAAGAAGCTCATTGACCGAGGAGTACCGATGTACCTAGTTAGATTTCTTGTTATATGGTACGAGACCTTGTCCTTCTCTGTCCACTGGGGTCGAACCCTCTCAGACACGTTCACAGCAAGTAATGGTCTGCCGCAAGGCAGCCTATTGTCTCCATTCCTGTTCAACGTGTATGTTTCTGATGTAAGTGTCGAATTATCAAAGTCCGGGGTGGGATGTGTTGTTGGTGATACTGTGGAGAACCACTTAATGTACGCGGACGATATTTGTTTGATCTGTCCTTCTGTGAGGGCCCTACAGAAACTAATTGACATCTGTGAGCACGCGGGAATGGATATCGACATGTTATTTAACGATAAGAAAACCATGTGTATGTACTTCCCATGTCGCCGCTTCCGCCTGCATGGCCCACCTCCTCAACTGAAGTTGTACGGCTCCACATTAGCATATGTTTCAACTGCCAATTATCTTGGGTATTACATTACCCCTGACCTGTCCGATGATTCAGCCATCCGGTGCCAGGTTAGAAGTTTTTATTCCAGAGCGAACTTGCTCCTTCGGCGGTTCCGCTACAGTTCAGTTGAGGTGAAACGGATTCTTTTTAATAGTTATTGCACTCCTATGTACTGCTCCCAGATATGGGCAGATTATAGTGTGGGCATGATATCTAAATTGCGAGTGGCGTACCACAGCGCCTTGAAGCTGTTACTCTCTGTAAGCAGAAGCACTAGCAACAGCCAGTTATTTGCCAACCTTGGAATCGACACTTTTGACGCTAGACGAAGGAAACAATTGTATTCTTTTGTCACTCGGCTACTTCATAGTGACAATACGATCATCTCTACGCTAGTTCATTCTGACGGCTACTACCTCAGCACATTCTGGAGGCATTACATTAACCTAGTTTTTAAGTAGTTTATTTTCTTTAGGTATAGCTAGATTATCGAGGTTTTATTTATTGTGTTATTGTGTTACAACGCCTCCATTTATTTTTGTCTGTCTGTTCGCAATGTGATATGGGCCAGGGGCCTGAATTAAAGAATAAATAAATAAAATAAATAATCAAGGTTAGGAGAAAATCATGAATACTGAGAATGTAGCTATGTAACACAGACCTCTCTGTTGGGGTTCAGCATCTTGACTGGAGATGTGGCCTCTGACCCGAAGAGTTGGAAGCCGACCCGTGAGGTAGTCCCTGCCCCGAACATGGACCCGGTGGTGACCGTGAGTTGATAGACATGACGTGCGACCATCCTGTCAGGAGGGACCAGACTCACTTTGCACAGCGGCTCACTTTGGTTCTTTGCTCCTCCACTTGCTCCGGTAATGGGGCTTATCCAGCGGGCGAATGGACGACGAAGGGCCCTCTAATGACGTGAAAAATAAACTCTTAGCCTCTATCTTAACAAGCTACTTCAATTTGGGTTAATTCATACAGAACATGGCAGTGGTCAACAATAGAGCTGGACATTTTAGCTGATTTTTAAACAAGTTCTATTATCAAACTTTAGCTATTTAGCCAGTCCTTTGTTTCAGCGCTGCACTTAAAAATGAATTTATTGAACAAATGCACAGAAAAGAAGATTTTTGTATAGGATGGCCAGTGCCTGTAATAGAATGAAGTGTTGATGATGTACAATGTATATAGCCTTATTTTAAGCTGTGTTAATATGGTGTGATTGTTGCCTATGTATTTATGTTTTGTAAATGTGTGTCATGTGTGTGTCGAAGGACCGCAGAAAGAATGGCTGCAATACAATTTTTATAAGCTAAGTGTGGATCCCAATAAAGTCAAGTCAAAGTCAATTTATGCAAAAAAACTATATGTTATTTTCTGCACTGCCCAATGTGTATGAGCGAAAAAATCAAAAAAGTTTACAATGATATCATGATGATATCATGTTAATGATATCATAATAATGATATCATGTTAATGATATGAAAATAGCTATGATGATGATTTATTAAATTATTTGGTGTTTTCAATTTTAAAAAAGGGTAAGTAAGGTAAAAGGTAAAAAAGTTAGGAGTAACGTAAGACGATTTGTAAAGTTCAAGAATGAAGCAACTTCAACCTTACCCATACACGGTGAAAGTCCACGCACAAGAGAACCATGATATGGAGGTACAGGATGAACTCGGACACCACGATGGAGAACACTACGGAGTTGTCGCTCAGGTGGAGGAAGTTCTGGAACGCGTTGATGAAGTTGATGGAGTTGGGGAGTGGAAGAGTCATGGTCCCTACAGAGACCTTCCACTCGGTCATGGGACACCTGCAGCTGATGGCCCCGTCCTTGAGATTAATGTCAGCCTGTCGTGGGTTCAAAGGTTCACGATCAAAAATAATGGCGGTATGGCATTGTTGAAACCTCAGTTTTCTTCACTCGTCTAGTGTACTGTATATTCTGGTTGAGTGTCGATGGCAAAAAATAAAGAACATTGTCTTATCAGTGCTACACTGCTTTTCCTTTTTTCAATCTCTTTTACATTTATTAAGACTTGTTTGCACGTATTTTCCTGTGATTTTGTTTCAATAGTTCTCAGAGGGAAGTAATTAAGATAAACCTCTGCGGAAAATTCATTCAGGAGCAATATGCCTATCAAATACAAAAAAAATGTACTGAATACAACTGTGTCATCATGGGACAGTTTTTTGCAGTCTTAAATCGGAATCTTGGCAACAACTGACCATGCAATTTAGTCACTACTTTGTTCCCGGTGACATTTTAGGTTTAGAGAAGAGCTAGGCAGGTTGGATAACAATAGCATTGCAATAGTTATTCTAATAACTAGTAGTGTGCACTGCACACGGAAAAGAAGTCAAACCCAACAATAATTACAAATGTATATATAAAGTAGCATTAGCATCACTTATTATTATTATCATTCTACTGTTCACTGTTGTTATTATGTTCTTGCAATTAGCCCTCGGGCATGAATTTGCAATAAAACTTTCTGTACTTTCAGTAATAGTTATTAACCGGATAGACTTACATCGCAGCCCTCCAGCCTCCATTGGTTCTTATTGTCGTTCCAAGACGAGCAGCCCACAGCTGACATCGACAGGGCGTAGTCTTCTCTGCTCAGGATCTGAACGGTAGGCTGCGGTTGACGACCTTGGGTTGAGCTCGTATGTCCTGGAAAGTTTATAGTCAAATCAAATTCATTGTACTGTTACAGGTATAAAAAAAGGGATGTATGATTAGATATAATTATATTACTGACGAATCAACGTGTGGTAGAAGAATACCGACTAATCACTTTAGACTAGTGGGATCTCCACGTCGATTCTAAGCAATACAGTATTGAACACAATATAAAGTGTACGTAAGGCAGAGCGTTCTATAAGACTTAAGGCTAGTTACCATTAACTATTACATATACAGTATGTATAAAGCCCTGACATTAACGATAGGTTGTACAGTATTGTATTAAGATATAGAAGGTAAATAATTTATGTTTCATGAAGGTTTAGGAACGTAGACTCACCTAACATCTGTACTCCGATATACAAAACCCTGCCATGATCCGTTGTGTTGGGAATAAAGGATGCTGAAAAATTCGTCCCCTTGAGCCAGGCCTCGTATCCGTCTTCTTTTATAACTCTTTTCTCGACATACTTTTCTGCAGTTGGAGGAGAGCCGTACGAGATGTACACGTGAAATGTCGCTTCTACATCCCACCAGTTCATACGGATAACCGGGATGACGTTATCAGCTGGAACATTGAAGGCGTGGTACACCATAGTTGTTCCGTTGGTGTTCCCCTCCGCCGTGTTTGGACTTTCTGTCGTGACGTGTGATGACCGGCTTGCTGGCTCTTGTTTCTCATGGGACGGTACAAATGGCATATCCAGTTTTACCTTCTTGTTTTTGGTAAGTGTTCCTGAATTCTTTGAATCGATGGTCAGAAACGCCACTGATGACGAGATATTTTGTCCTCCTGTCGATTTACTCCAAGAATATGGGTTCTTCCTGAAAACTGACATCTGAAGAACACAATCATGGTACATCTTATTGTTTGGCATCCTAAACAATTTAGGGGTTTAAAGTGGGCTTGGAACAACAATTATTTAAAAAATGATAGAATAACAGTAGAAGACAATGTGTTTTTTTTTGCGTATTTGTTACCTTGATGTCCAACATATCATGTGCATTGGTCAGATTTGTTGGGGATATATATGCCACAATATCCCCAGAGCCAATGTGAAGGTCTTTGTCAGAGGGAAACCTTGCTACATCCACAGCGACGTTTTCTGTTTCAAAGCTTGATTGATATTCTACATCCTCAGGCTGCAACGCCAGCAGTGTGTCGGCTACCTGGCCCAGAGATGCCACAATGGTCTGAGACGCTTCTCGTTGCTGAAATCAAATAGCAATACGTTAATAGTGCTGAGGAGGACTTTCCTGCATTGCTTTGAATACTTTAGAATGCGAGATTTAATTTAGTGAATTTATCACGTTATCAGTAACTGTTTATTGTGCGAATTGACATATTGTTAAAATTCTTACCATGTCTTCCTTTTCCTTCTTCTTCTCCTTTAACACCTTCAGCTGCTGCCTCGGGGAGAGATCGGTGGCACTCGTGTCGATAAGGTCACTTTCTAACACATTATCGGAGCCACTTGCTATTTGCGTTTTCTGTTCAGGTAACACATTGATGGCTGCTGAAACCGTCTGCACTAAGGCTGAAAAAGAAAGAAAATAGCTTTAAATGTAACTCATCCGAGTAAACTTGAGTAGAGCAGAGTTAAGTACTACAGTAGAGTGGGGTATAGTATAGCATAGTATAGCATAGTATAGTATAGTATAAGTATAGTATAGTATAGTATAGTATAGTATAGTGTAGTATAGTATAGTATAGTATAGTATGGCATGGCATGGCATGGCATAGTATAGTATAGTATAGTATAGCATAGTATAGTATGATATGGTATGGTATTGTATGGTATGTTACGGTACAGTATAGTATAGTATAGTACAGTATAGTATAGTATAGTATAGTATAGTATAGTATAGTATAGTATAGTATAGTTACTGTGCTAGTAGTATAGTATTCTAGTTGAGTGAAATATAGAAGTTAAAAATTGAGAAGGGGAAGCAAACAGGGAAAGTTATGTAAAACTGTTAACTATAGAAAGGGGTAAATCGTAGAACTGTTGATTTTTTATTTTAATAATGCTGACAAATGACGAAGATATGTTATATCTAATAAAACAAGTCTTTTTAAGGGAGCTGTACATTGTAGACAAGAAATCAAAGGTTTCTTACCATCAGCTATGGTCTGCATATTCTCTACAGAAATGCCCTGTGTTCCCCGAGCCGCAGTGGAAAGCTTTTCTATGATCCCGGCAGTGGTTTGCTGTAAAGAATGCGAACGATAATTAAAAATAACCACTTTTATATTTTGCTTTGCCAGCAGCAGATAGGTTAATACTAGTATACCAACGGGAGCTCATGGAGTTTAGAATTCTAGTAAAAAATTTTGGTTTCGGAATTTTTTATTTTTTGACCATACTAGCAGATTGTGTCGTATGCCATACCGGTGCGGAATCTGTGAAAGGTCATTTTATTTCTGCAGTTCTTTGACCTTTTGATCTCCGATCTTATGGACTGCCATTCGCTTGTCATGTGAATGCCGCAATATCAACCTAATTTGTGCAGAAACAAACAAACTGCCCCTCCCCAATGAGACACCCAAACAATACTTCGGTCCCTGGGGTAACTAGAGGAAACTAAGTAAACTTCAGCTCACCAACACTGACGGCGGCATTTCTGATTCGGCGGCATCAGCAACCTTGATGATGTCATTGATGTTGGACGTCGCTGAAAGAATGTCTTCTGCTTCCAACGCTTTTGGTAAATTTTGGTCTAGGTCCTGTACCAGCTTCTGAAGCTATATTTTTCCAATAATGAAGTATTAGTGATGCATATATATTAGTGATGCATTTATATCTTACTGGCACATACAAAGGCAAGTTAGGAATGTTTGTAAAAAAAAAACCTTAATGTGCAGATGTTACTACGTATACGAATGTGAATATATTCGATGTTTATTTCTAAAACAAACCAAAATTCGGCACACCTTTTCAGCCGGCTCCTCCGTTGTCCGTTTTGGAGATGTTGTGTATTTGTTGATGTCTGAGATTTAGACGCAGATAGTATCTTAATCAATTCATACAAATATGAAAAACGGGATATATACATGTTTAAAGTTAAAACGTTTGGTCCAACACAAAAAATTCTATCACCTATAGAGCTTTCGACCAGTCACTCTGGTCTTCCTCAGTAGACTGACCCAGTGAAGCTTGTCACGTGGCTTCTTTGTAACCAACAACACAGATGAACATTCATGATGGGATATGTACATGATGAGATAGTACACACAACCCAGCGTTAGTTATATATTGTGAAACTCAACAATAACTTATAATGTATAACTAATATGTGGCGCAGCGGCAGCGTTCTCGACTCGGAACCAGAGGCCCCGGGTTCGAGTCCTGACATGCCACCGATCTTGTGCCCTTGGGAAAGGCACTTTACACGACTTTCCTCACTTCGCTCAGGTGTAAATGAGTATTGTACTGTCCCTGTGTTGGTGTCGGCATTAATATAAGTTGAAAAAACTTGAGTGTGTCGTCAACACGTCTTGTGATTACATGTTTCGGAATAAAAAAAATAATAATAATAGTAACTTACCCGGAGTCGATGTCTGTGAGATACGGGGAGGCTCCGTTGATCTACCAGGGGAAGTCACTGCGAACGAAGGAAACATACCAGTATGTAAATCATACAAAGTCGATTTATCGAGAGTCAATAAAAATAATCCACAGATTACATTACATGTTATACAAGTTTATGTCAGAAAGGAAATATCACAGTAAACGATCTTTTTAGACCTTTCCATACGTCTTCGATGTTTTAGGGGATTCAAACACAACGAAACAAAGGGATGTTTGCTGTATGTTTACGTATGTTTAACATGGCTAGATAAAATTTGCGAAACTCTCACTGTAGTTTGTGGTGGTCCATTTGCCCGTTGTTGCTGCGTCTTTATCCAAAGCCAAAGGCGACGGTGATTGTGTTAATTTAGAAGTGGTTCCTACAAAAAACAAAAATTAACAGTTCACACCCTTAATGTGTTTTATGTTTTCTAATATTCCAACTGCAGTCTGTAGCATAAGATATTTCCATGTTTTTCCACGAAATTTTTTATTCAATCAAGAGTATGAGATAAATGGTTATGCTAAACAAAATTATCAAAGATGAGGCATTCGCAAAGGCAGTACTAGTAATGGAAAAAATTGCCATGAATATAAAATCTTATATGATTATCAATATTTTCGGTCCTTTTCAATGTTGAACCGTTTTTTGTCACTTTAAATTTGCCATTTTTTTTTAACTTTGAAAATAACCGTGACAACCAAATTGGTAGTAATGAAAATTTAATTTAAATGTACTTTCAAAGTCCCAATTGTGCACGTTGCTATCATGTGCTGTTGTAGACGCTGTTGAAGAAGTGGTCGAAGTCGTTGTCATTCTATCAGATACGGAGATTTCTGTCGTTGAGTCAGTGCTGACCTCGATTGGCGATATAGATCCTTCAGAAACAAAGTGATGTTTTAAAAGACAAATCCAAATCAACAATAAACCGACGTAAAGAAGACTTCAATACAGAATGATTCAGAGTACATAAAGTTAACGAATTGTTTACGCTCTACTCTACTAAATAAGGAAAAATAGCAAGAAAGTTTCGCTTTATAATACGCTACGCATGGCTGTATCTATAGCATAAACATACACCACACCTGTACTATATGAAAAAGCGATGTCCACACTACGACCAAACTCACTGAAGGCCCCCATTTTGAAGACGTAAGTGGTTTCTGGTACAAGATCCGTGACGTTGTAGGACGTTGTGTGCCCCTCGAGTCTAACATGGAAACATCGTCATTAGACACCGAATGAGGAAAATTCGACATTAGAAATGTACATCAATATATACAGTTTCACTGGGTTTCAACTATCGCAACAAGCATTTTGTAATTTTCTGAGAATAGTCGAGAGACAAGAGGCATTTTCCAGCAGTAAAAAAGGAAACACTAATTATATTGACAGTAACGATATATAAAAGAAGAAAACGAATCGATTTCAAATATATTATGATAACATAAATCATATGATATATGCTCTAATAAATGCTCTACTTACTATCTTATCTATTTTTACCTGAGGAATGTTCTTGTACTGCTAAATTCGTCTGAGATTTCCAAGTCGTAGGACAGAATGTTGGCCACAGGTGAGGTCCATTCCAGGAACAGCCAGGTCGTGGAGGACTTGGTGACGTTCAGACGTGAGGGTGGATCTGTGTCTAAGGTAGTTAGAAAGTAAGATTAACATACTACTAGAAGTAGAAACAAAGCCAAAAGTGATAAAATTCAACAACAGCTGAAATATTTTCTTGGCAATCTTTTTTTTCTCAATAATTTTTAACCGTTTTATTAAAAAGTTACGTACCTCTGTCTTACCACGTACCTGTAATAACACTTGTACTGACGGCGAGGCTCCTCCCAAACCTGCTAACGGCCACCAAGTCAATGTCATACTGAGAACCAGGAACCAGACCTGTCAGTTTACAGCTGTCTACATCTCCCGGTTCCATTACGGAAGTACTTCTTCCATTTCCTGTGTACGTTATGTTGTATGCCGTCAGAACAGCTTCAGGAGGTAACCAGGAGATTGTGACAGTGTTGGTTGTCTTCTGTTCAATGTACAGTGCTGTTGGACTATCCGTTTCTGAGGATAAAAGGCAGAGTGTAAACATGTAAACATGTCCCTTATGTTATATTCTTCAAGGATAAAAAATGTCTTTTAGCTGCTATTTTGCCGGCTTATTTTTCCATGGTTTAAACTGAAAACAATACATACTACAGAATGCTTATATTCGCAACAATTCATTCAAATACAATACAACTCGTCGAATTTCTAGCAAGAAAGATAGACTACTTCTACAGGCCAAATGCATGTGTCGGCATCAGTTCTGCTGTGGCACTTTGTTTTTACATGGTATTTATAGTATGGAGCTCCTTAAGCCAATTCTTTATTGAGACCCAAATGGCCAATTTTATATTTGAATACAAAGTCTCCTTACTTGTTACCACAGTAATGTTCACGGCTGGTCCCTCGTTGTACCTGTTGATGCTTACGGCTGATATCACATACTCTGTGGCAGGGGTGAGGGCAGTAAATGTCAGATCTGTTTGATCTGTGGGCACGAACTGCGTGAACAGGCTCTCAGCTGTATCACTCCGCACTATCCACATCCTGTAGCCAATAGCGAGTGAGCTGGACTTCTGCTTCCACGAAACTGTGATGGACGTTTCTGCAATGTCTTTCAACTTGAAGTCCTCAGGTGGGGGCGTCACTATTAAATGCAAGAATATCACATTAAAATGGTTCATAGAAAATGTGAAGGGCAAAGGCGTGAAAAATTGAGACTTAAGATCTCTAAGGTACATTTTAAGTATCGGAAAGTAAATGCTGTAGTTATACTCACATGTTGCACATGTGACCTCAACAGACAAGCTCTCCTTGTATATCCCAACAGCTACAAGCGTCACGCTGTATTCTCGGTCAGCTAGGACATCCTGGAGTACCTGTTCCTCATTTTCCGGACCAAAATCTGTTGAGATGACGTCGGACGGACTGTCACTAACGAGGGTGTAGGTCACTCTGTATCCAATAAGGGGCGCTCTCGGCTTCACCCAGCTGATGGACAGTGAAGTATAAGTTGCTGCTGAGCAGGTGAGGAACTGTGGACTGTCCGTTTCTGAAACACACAAATACACCGAAATATATATATTAGACTCTCTTCTCTACTTTACTACTAAGCAACTGTGGACACCACATTGTTATGTTAGCCACAGTAGTACAATATTACCTCGTTCTTTTTTTTCTTAATGATCTTTACCTATGGTACATTGTGATTTTATGATTAAATTGTATTCATTATCCTGCTGTAGTAACGGGCCTCTCTCTTACCACGTACCTGTAATAACACTTGTACTGACGGCGAGGCTCCTCCCAAATCTGCTAACGGCCACCAAGTCAATGTCATACTGAGAACCAGGAACCAGACCTGTCAGTTTACAGCTGTCTACATCCCCTGGTTCCATTACGGATGTACTTCTTCCATTTCCTGTGTACGTTATGTTGTATGCCGTCAGGACAGCTTCAGGAGGTAACCAGGAGATTGTGACAGTGTTGGTTGTCTTCTGTTCAATGTACAGTGCCGTTGGACTATCCGTTTCTGAGGATAAACGGCAGAGTGTAAACATGTAAACATGTCCCTTATGTTATATTCTTCAAGGATAAAAAAGTCTTTTAGCTGCTATTTTGCCGGCTTGTTTTTCCATGGTTTAAACTGAAAACAATACATACTACAGCTTACTTATATTCGCAACAATTCATTCAAATACAATACAAATCGTCGAATTTCTAGCAAGAAAGATAGACTACTTCTACAGGCCAAATGGATGTGTCGGCATCAGTTCTGCTGTGGCACTTTGTTTTTACATGGTATTTATAGTATGGAGCCCCTTAGGCCGATTCTTTATTGAGACCCCAATGGCCAATTTTATATTTGAATACAAAGTCTCCTTACTTGTTACCACAGTAATGTTCACGGCTGGTCCCTCGTTGTACCTGTTGATACTTATGGCTGATATCACATACTCTGTGGCAGGGGTGAGGGCAGTAAATGTCAGATCTGTTTGATCTGTGGGCACGAACTGTGTGAACAGGCTCTCAGCTGTATCACTCCGCACTATCCACATCCTGTAGCCAATAGCGAGTGAGTTGGTCTTCTGCTTCCACGAAACTGTGATGGACGTCTCTGCAATGTCTTTCAACTTGAAGTCCTCAGGTGGGGGCGTCACTAATAAATGCACGAATATCACATTAAAAACGGTTCGTAGAAAACGTGAAGGGCAAAGGCGTTAAAAATTGAGACTTAAGATCTCTAAGGTACATTTTAAGTATCGGAAAAGAAATGCTGTAGTTATACTCACATGTTGCGCATGTGACCTCAACAGACAGGCTCTCCTTGTACATCCCAACAGCTACAAGCGTCACGCTGTATTCCCGGTCAGCTAGGACATCCCGGAGTACCTGTTCCTCATTTTCCGGACCAAAGTCTGTTGAGATGACGTCGGACGGACTGTCACTAACGAGGGTGTAGGTCACTCTGTATCCGATAAGGGGCGCTCTCGGCTTCACCCAGCTGATGGTCAGTGAAGTATAAGTTGCTGCTGAGCAGGTGAGGAACTGTGGACTGTCCGTTTCTGAAACACACAAATACACCGAAATATTAGACTCTCTTCTCTACTTTACTACTAAGCAACTGAGGACACCACATAGTTAGCCACAGTAGTGCAATATAACCTCGTTTTCTTTCAAATACTTTCATTACACATTATATTCAATTAGTGTTTTGACTTCAGCTCCAAAACGATGGTACCTTATGTGTATAATGCATAATTTAGAAAAAGTAGTTTGATGTAATCTTTACCGGTGATGCATTGGATTGTGACGTCACAACTTTGAAATGTTTTGTTAGCCTAATAACCATTAAGAATATATGTATAGAAGGCATAATGATAATTACCCGTATATACTTGTACTTCACACAGGGTCAGTATACGGGAGGGTCCGGGGAGACGGACGCCCACGTACCGTCCCATCATCCCCGGACATGAGACGGAAATGGACGGCTGGTCCAGGGCGATGCGATGATCACCTCCACACCTGGGGTTCATGCTGACCTGGTCGGAATCCCCGATGTGGATGTTGAAGGGGTTGAGTCGTTCCGAACAACAGTCCATGCGGTTAAAGATGACTACTCTGTGTGTAAGACAAACAAAGGCGCTTTATTGGCGTTTTATGAAGATGTTTCGTTAAACGTTGGTTTACACAATATAATACGTATTTAATTTGATAGATCATTACTCATAAGCTTTTATATATAACTGATTAGCAGAGAAAGATAGACAATATAAAATACACAAAAAATTAATTTCAAACATAAATTGAAAAATATAAATCACACTCCAAATGCATACAGTTAAATTTAAGAATAATTTTCGTCATTGGACTTGTTGAAAAAGATGAACTAATATAATATATGCAAAGAGAGCCTTTTTTTACTTTATTCATGGGATATGTATAAAATATCAATATTTTGGTTATATAGCAATGGTTAGAGTCAATTCCACGTCACCGTGTGGGTTTATTTCTCCATGTTTGTAATACTTTTGAATTATTAAGAAGACAAGAATACCCCAGTAACAAAATTTCTTAATTTTCCAAAAATTAGAAAATGAATATGTGAATATATATGAATTCATTTAGATATTTCTGACTGAATCATTTTGAAAGTGGCTTTACAAAGATCTCTTTATTTAGAATAAATTTGAACTACACTTGTGTTTCTTTCACTATTCGAAATATTTAGAAATATTTCAAACAAATAACCAAATGGCAGATGTGGGTAATTGCCCCCATAAAAGTAGTTTCTAATCCGACTCTTCGGTCTTCTTCTGTATATTTTTAGATTTAACTGATGGACACTAGTGGCTCTTTTGTTGTAAGGCATCAATGCCTGACGCCCAGGCAGTCTACCCTGTACTTCACAGGGATGTGTGAATTGCTTCCTTCCCATCCCACTGACCTATTTACAAAATGTTAGAAATAATTGTAAATAATGGTAAAAAAAATGGTAGAGTGCTGTTAGAAATATTCAGAAACTATTGGAAATGTGATATTCCACATCAGGAATATTTCAAAAGTTTTACAAAACCAGGGATGTTGAAATGAATGTTGAAAAGATATTCAAAGTACTTTCAAATTATGAAATTTCTTAGACAAGTAATGACAAAAAAACCCGATACGGTGACGCGGAATTGACTCTAACACCCCTTGACTAATTGAAAGTTCTGTAACTCTTGATAAGTTACTAAGTACCTGACTTGCACGAGATATTCTGAACTTTTATGTTATGTTCGTACATTCTTATATAATTCTAGTCTGTGTTTTTGAGAAGTTTTTATGTATGCGTGTTTGGTTGTTTGTTTTTGTTTGCTTGTTTGTTAACCATTAATCCGTATGTATATCCATTGATCGACTATATATTCTGAACACATACCTGGCAATCATGTACGATTGACCGAGATCCACCCACCAGCTTGGATCAATCTCTCCTGCGTCTGCAGTGTGTGTACAAGTTGCAGAAAAGAAGTTGGTACCAGTGTTCCCGTCCACGGCACGGCTGGCAGCCCGAGTGTGGTGCTCAGTGGTTGTTTGGTACGCCGTCTTCCCAAGTGCGACATTGACACCTGTTCCGGACGAGAGGACTGTCAATATCAGTATTATAGACACGGATTACCTGGAATACTACAGTAACGTACGGCAGCGATCGTACGACCCTTTCTTTCTGCACATACCGGGAGTAAGTGCCCTGGGACTCTCACTGCGTCCAGCATTAGCGTCGCTTACTGACTTACGGCGGATTTGGGAAGCGAGCTATTTCAAAACAGCTGAAAATCAAGCCTTTGTCTGTCTGTCGACACAATTACTTGACAAGACTTACATGGTTTGTATTGATATTACGTGTATCGGTAGATTCTTATGAGAATTTAATGATCTACCACTACGCTACCCGACGCCATATTTGGTTCCTTTGATTACAATGTTTTCAAATTATGTTTAATGATGTCCACCCCACTTAACTTCCAATTATGGCAAGTATTAAATTCCTAGCATTTACCACTACAAAATTTTAGTAATTTCTCATTAATTATGCAAATTAAGTCTTCATTCTCATAGTCAATATCTGTTCATGGCGTTTTCAATAACATATGTCACGAGTGTTTCATAGCCCTAATATATATCACTACAGATTTATAGAATTTTCTTATTAATCATGCAAATTAGATCCATATTTGCATAATTGCAATCTAGTTATGCCAAACATCACCTCAGCTACCTACATACCAGAAATCATGACGATTCGTCAATCAGTTTTTGTTTATCTTCTCTTGAAACAAACCGTCCTGCAGTTCCATAACAAGCTCCCAGGGGGGCTACACTCACTTGACGTCTTTCCGAGCCCAAGAACTACCTACCATCCAAAATTCATGACCCAAGCATGTCCAGACGGCGAGATATCAAAACCGGATGCAGTGCCAAGGGAAGGGTCACAAGTGGGTCCAAAATCTCATTATTTTCAGCTTTTGTCACACCCTACCTACCACCCTATCAAACCAAACTTTCCAGCCGTTCTTGAGTTATCTTGTTGACTAACAGACAGAATGACAGACAGACAAACACAACTGAAAATACTGGAGTTCAACGATCTCATACACCGAATGATATTAACCTTCATGAAATTATATATTAGTCCCCCTAATTATGCAAATTACATGGATTATATCTGTTGCCTGCACCTGCTGCTCTCACCAGAAACATTTTGTAAGTAATTTACCTGATATCCCTTTATATCTTATTCCTGATATGACTTTTATAATTGTATGTTATCATGTATTGTGAATTTTATACTTGGATTTTAAAGGCGGATCTGTACGCAATGACACAATTCAGGTGTTGATTTATTTTATATAGTATTTACATGTATATGTAACTGGGGACTCCCACTATTTTACTATTGTTGCCATTACTATAAAATGTATTATCACTTAAGATTGTATAATTTTTTACTATTTTACTATTGTTGCCATTACTATAAAATGTATTATCACTTAAGATTGTATAATTTTTTACTATTTTACTATTGTTGCCATTACTATAAAAGGTATTATCACTTAAGATAGTATAATTTATACCCTAGTGAAGGCATCTAAGGTCACTTGTAACCTTGACTATGTAAGGCAAAATTATTTCCTTGTAAGTACCGACATCTTAAGGATTAACTTTTTAGATATAAGCTTAAGTAAAAAAAAAATCTTTAAATAAATCACAGTTCACCCCACCTAAGTAATGACAGAAACGACTAAAATGTTTAGAGGTGATATTACGCGTGCGATTGGCTCGAAAAATGCTTGCTTAAAAATCGATGACAGCACGTTTATAGCTGTTGTTTATAACTAACCTTGACTTCCGC